TGAGTGTCAGAGACAAAAAGACAGCACATCGCTTGACAGGTTGGTCACAGAGTCCCTCAGCTTCTCTTTCAACCTTCAGCCCCTGAGGTTTTCATGAGAATCAGTTAAGGCTCTTGGTAAAACAGTGACACATCAGCCAGGGAATGGAACTGTCTAACCAAGGCACGTGAAACAGGCCAAGCTATAATTATCCACACAGGTCATGTTTTCAGGAAAAAAAAATGTCCCAGCTTCGTTCCCAATGTGCTGTGAAATGTGGATCCACCCGAACTCACTGGCTGACTGGGTGACCCCACCTCTGCCTTCTTCCTGCAGCTCCGAGTGGTGGGGGCCATCCCTGACCTACACTCAAGATGCCGAGTGGATATTACCTTTGAAGATTGCCAAGAAGCACAGAAAACCCCTGGCCTATGGCTGCAACTCCTAAGCCACATGTTCTCAGCTCCCTGGATAGGCTGAGCCTAGTGACAGATATAGGTATATAGCCCAGGGTGATTAGTATGGCTGCGTGCATGCGTGCGTGTGTGCTCACATACACATACACACAAAATAAATGTAACAAAAATTTTTTGAAGGTCTGGGAATACATAGCTCAGTAGCTAGCTAGCTAGCTAGCATGAGTGCGAGCCCCTAGGTTCAATTCAGAAACAAACAAATTAACAAAGACATAAATACTATTGCTAGTGTTTTCAAATGGTCAAAATGTGCATACAAACACACAAAGTGAGCAGGTGCTTCCAAAAAATACAATAGTACAGGTATCTAAAACCCAGCCACAGTGGGCTTTTTAATGCAGATAAACTTACTCTTACTACTATATCAATATTTGTTTTCCAAATAAAATTACCAATTTGTGTTACATCACAATGGTCTCAGGAGACAATATATTTTCCTTTTAAAACTTAAACATTCTGAGTTTGCTGTAAATAACAGTGCTGGAAGGAGCCCGAGTCACAGCTTTTATCTTGCTTCTCCAGACAGCGAACACTGAGAGATGGTGACAGGCTGGGTGTGGTTGCACTTGTAAAGCCAGCACTCAGCTAAGGCTGGCCTGGACTTCACAGAGGGGTCCTCTCAAGAATGGGAGGGGGCTACAATTGAGGGCAAATCCTAGCAGCCTTCACAGTATCAAGTAACTAGGCACATTACACTACCTGCAGAGTCCAAGGCTTGTGTCATATTGACGTGGGTGGGGTGCCATAGATCCCCAAACCTACTCAGTACATGGGTCATGTGGATTTCTTTCTTGTTTGCATTTTAAACTTGACCCTCAAGTACAAACAGCCTATAGATCAGTTGCAAATCTTTTCCTTTATGACTGGGGTGGGGTGTGGGAATGAAGAACCATTTAAACACAAGCTCCCACTCAGTCTCCTGAACCGAACCATTGCTGTCTCTGTGTTTTACAGCTCTGCTTTCCTCCACAGGAAACACTGACTCTTGCTGAGGGTCCACTGCTTTGAAACATCAAAATGAATATGTTTGCTGCCTGAGGACCACCCCAAGCCACACTGAACTCTAAACAGTGTCACTGATTTTAGTAAAAACCTTTGCTGGAAAAAAGAATGAATTGTTTTCCATCATCATCATCATTTATTTCCAAAGGAGGAGGGGCTTTCTTTGGCTTTTGCCCTCTGATATAGTCCATCAGGGAAGGGACGTCACGGTGGAGGAAGCGGGAGGCTAGCTGGCCAGGTGGTAGTGATTTTATAGTGCCTCACATCACCCAGGTGCTAGGCTGGTCCCACATGTAAGGCTCTGCTACTGAGGACTGTGTTCCTGGGGGGTCTTCCACCAGAACACCCATCACCTAGCTGCCAACAAGTGGCTCTCAGACCAGACACTGTAGCAGTTCTACTCTGCCTACTGTCTTCCCTCATGACAGACATTTCAAGAACTCTGCCTCAAGGACAAATGGCAGTATCTTGGCAGTCAGTATTCAGGGTGCCACACACTGACTGATGGGTCATTGGGATTGTTTTTGCTGCTGTTGCTTGCTGGGAGGTTTTTTTGTTTTGTTTTTGTTTTAGCTCAATCTGGCCTGGAATTCCATATGTAGTCCAGGCTAGCCTCAAACTTGCAGCTACTCCTGCCTTAGCCTCCAGAGCGCTGTATCTGCAGGTGTGAGCCACAAACCCTGGCTTTTATGACCTTCACTAGTTCTGGTGACATCTGATCCTTCTCAGAGAGTAAAGTGGGCAACTTCCAGTAATGAAGACCATCGTCCATACCTGAAACACTAAAATGGACCATAAGGATTGTTTAAACATGGCTTATTTACTTCCCAGTTAGTTTTCAAAAACTGCAGCATTTAGTGACAGTCAGGTAGGAACTCATGAAAATTAGAGAATCAGACCAAGAACAGGTTTTAGTGCTAATCACGTTGTCTACAACAGTGATCAAACTCAGGACCGAGTGCTGAGACACTAAACAGAGACACTAGCATAAGTGCTGAGAGACTCAGGTCACATTTCACTGCTCCATCAAAAACAAAAAACAGGAAGACAAGCAATCAACACTCCCAGGCTGAGATGGCTGTCCCCAAAGTACTCGCCCTGAATCATGAGGACTTGAGTTTGAGACCCCAGAACCCATGTGAAAGAGCTGGGCACCAAAGCTCATGCTGTAATCTCCCAGCTCTAGAGGCAGAGCTAGGAGGGTCACTGGGATTTGCTGGCCAGCCAGTCTGGCTCCAGGTTCAGTAAGGGACCCTGCCTCAAAATCAAGGTGGAGTGACTGAGGAAGGCACTTGACATAGACAGACTCTGGTGTCCACACCCCAGGCACTTGTACCCACATACATGTGCCTGCCTCCTCAGCATTACAGCTTATCAAGCCAGAAAAAATAAAATGGAGAAAATACATGTAAAAAGTCCCCTGCTCTGTCCTTTTTCAGAAGGTGCTTTCCACACTGAAGCACTTCAGCAAATGACATTGTCTTGGTTTTCCTAGTCCTTGGAAGAGGTTCACAGTAGAACTTCAGGTGTGGACTAGTTCTCAAGTCACATACCAGGCTCTGTGATCTTAGGTGTGCCACATTGTAGGGTTACATTTCCTTCCTTTCTCCCACCTTGGAGACTAAGGGATCTCAGCATGGATACAGCAGAGTCTCAGGAGAGGAGAGCAAAGGCTGGGAACAGAGTAGACAAAGCTCAGGCACACAGGCTAGCAGAGCGGGCTCACTGGCCTCTGGATACAGCCCTGTCTGTTTCCTCAGCTGCAAAGTGGAGCTACGCTGCCTTGCAGATTTAATGAGAAGACCAGACGATATGTAATTGGTGAAATGATTTACTTCCTATCAGAGTGGCTAGGGATTATGGAGGTACATGTACCACCACCACCACCCTTCCATCAAGGGTCTGTCTTCTCTATTTGTCACAGAAGGGCTTTTCTGGGCAACACAGTAAAAAGAAAGCATGGGGAAAGAACACAGGAATGATACAAGCTGGGTATTCCGCACAGTAAGAGGAAAGTAGCATTTGCAGAGCTCAGGGTACAGAACTTCACACTCTTTAAGGATTTTCCATACATAATCCTATTTAACCGCTACAGACCTATAATATAATTATCCTTGTTTGAAAGATGCTGTTAGGGTTCAGAGAGCCTAAGTAACTCGCCCAAAGTCACAGAGTTAGCATGTGGTGGATCCAGGACAGCTTCCAGGTTTCTAAAGTCTAAAGTCAGCCTCGGAACCCTTGTACCCTCCCCACAGCTTGTCCTGCGCACATCTATGCACAGGGACTGACTTACACCTTTGACATCAGCATACATAGACAGTACAGTGCCATCAGTACTCTTTGCCACTTACTTTTTGACCAAGTGTGTTTCTGATATTTAGTCATGGCAAGTACACCAGGATCTAGTTTGTTTTAAACACAGTATAGTTTTACCCTACAGCACTGAATTACCATCTGCTAATCCAGTCTAACAGACCAGGATCCCATCCTGTGGGTTCGTCTCCATCACAAGTCACGTTGTCATGAACACCTTACACATGTATCCTGTCTTACTGGGGCGCCTCTAGGGCCAGGGGTAGCAAGCTGGCATCAGGCTAACCCTCTTCCTGAATTTGCAAATAAAGTTTTATTGAATTCAGTTTGCTCACTGATTATACAGCATCCAAGTCTACTTTCAACCTTCAACAACAGAGCAATGAACAAGATGGGGACCTGGGAGCCCACAGACCTCCTGGCCCTTCACAGAGGAAGTATGTCTCCTCCACTCTAGACTATCTCTCTGGAAGAAGGGAAACAGCTCTGCTCATCTCCAATACACTGACTGTTACAATTCCAAAGTGCTGGTGACAGATACCCACAGCACATGGCTTGGCCCACAGAAGGGCACACACACAATTGAGAATCCAACCTCCAATATTTGCCAGAGTAGTAAGTGCCTAACTATTGCCTTGAATGCTCAGGCACTGCTTCATGAACACAGGCCATGGGGAAGAGAACTGGGAGAAGGGTGCAGAAGAAAAGTAAGATTCAAGGAGCTTCTAAAAGACATGACAGCCAGTGAGAAACTATGGGTGACAGCAGCTAACAGGGAAGACTCCAAATGTCCCAACACCAGAACATCACCATGTCCAAAGTGACAGCCAGGCCAGCTACTTGATGGTGTTATGTAATGTACACACATATGGCAATGTCACATAGGCTTATGTGTCAAAAAGTTTACAAGTTATAAGGACAAGAAAAAATAGGCTAAGAGTTATGCATTTATTAACATTCAACCTCCTAATCTGGCAGGCACCATTCCTGATGTAAAGAGGACATGGGGATGGACACAGGACTGTGAGAGCACTCACAGAGGAGTCTGCGATGTGTTGTGTGACTGTGACCTGACTGTGGTGTGACTGTAATGCTAGTCCTCAGTCGCAACAACAGTGACAGAAAGCCTGCCCAGCTCAAGTGGCATTCCCAACACCACAGGCTATTTATTGCATAAGCCCCTGCCCTCCACAGGGTGAAACGCTGTGTGCAGACAGGCAGGATCTCACGATGCCAGCAGTGACAAGCCCAAGGAACCATGAGGCTACATTGTGTCCTGAGTTCCTCAAGAGCCCTGTGGCTGTGGCCTGTGTGTACCCCAGGTAATAAAAGTAAGGACCAGAAAGTCTCTGCACCACACTTCCTGGATCCTGGGTTAGAACCAGGGCCCTTTGGGAAATTCTGACACAAGGGACAAGGAAGGGCCGATGCTACAGAGGCCCCATGCTGCAGTAGGACAGGTAGGAGGGCACCTCCTTGCCTGGCAAAGCGAAGATGAGCTGCCTGCCTCCCTGCCCCTTAGCAAACACAGGGTGTAGACAACTACTTGAAGAGTCTCCACACGGTAAAGGCCTAACCTGGCTAACAAAGGCCCCAGTGGGGGAGCACACTCACATCACCCCGCCCAGTCCAATGTCAGCCCTCCGCTAACTTCACTTCTCTAAGCCACAGGAGATACATGCTTAATTGTTTGGATAACACATTTATTAACCACATTAACAAGCCAATGAAATCAACAGTCAAGAAATGGGAGGGTTGTGGCTGGGCATGATAGCTCACACCTGTAATTCCAGCACTTGAAGGCAGCAGGATCAATTCAAGTTCTGGGGTAGCCTGATCTATACAGTGAGTTCTAGGCCAGCTTGGCTAGCCTGTCTCAATAATAATAATAATAATAATAAATTGAGTAATAACAACAAAATATCAACTCAAAAAAGGAAGGGTTAAATTCTTCTCTCATTTGAGCACCTAATTACACAGATCAGAGGTCAGATGCTTGAGATGGAAGACAGCAAACCTCTTGCTTTTAGTACTCATATTAGTTGTATTCCATTACAGCCTGCCGGTAGTTACACTACACCAAGGAACATAAATTCTAAACCAAAGACCCTCAGACTTCATATTAAGCAAGATATCCACAAAACAACTGTCTGCTAAGATCGTGCTTGCAGGGCGACTGTGAGTAGGTCCCAGTTCAGACTGCAGAGTCGGTGCTTATCTTCCCCAGCAAGGAGCCACCCCTGACCCAAAACTACAGCTTGTCCTGAGCTAGATAACCCCAGAGCCTCACAAACAGCCAGTGTTAGCTGAGGAGGAAAACATGGAGTTCTGAGCATAATGCATGGTAGCATTAACTTGCCTTCCTTCTGCTTTACCCTGGAGCTTGGCCATCAATACGATCACAGAGAGCAAATGTGGGGTTGGCTAAATGAGACAACATGGAGAAAAGCACTTTGGAAACCATCAAGTTTGATAATACAGTAGCGGCCATTTAGTGGGTGCCTTTGGTGCCAACTGTTATGTACAGTGTATGAGGAGATAGGGGAGTTCCCACAATGCAGTGCAGTCTGGCCTTGAACTGGTGATCCTCCTGCCTCAGCCTCCAGAGTGCTGGGAGTACAGACGTTGAGTTACTAGTCCAGCTATATTTTTTATTTTCTCGTTTCCTCGTGGACTCTGCCAGGTTCGGTGTCATAATCTTCACTTTACTGAGAAGGAAATGCAGTTGGGCTGTACTGCGGACGGACCACAGAAGATCCCAAGCCAAATCTGCCTTCCACAGCCCCCAGCCCACGTCATCAAGAAGGGCCATGTGAGGAATGGCTGTAGTCAGTAATTTCAAACGCTGAACACTCCATTCTAACACAGAAAAGTCTCCTTTGGGCAGGGTGATCAAACCAGAGCACTAGGTCAGGAAGATGGGGAAGGGGGGTTACTCAGTACCTGGAACTAGAGCACAGGCTTCCCCAGATTCCACTGCCGGAGGAAGGGAGCAGCTTTCCCATTACTCGGCCTACCTTGACCAATTCTTGCCTGGCCTTTCTCCTCCCCACTCAAGAGCAAGCAGAAGACTGAGTAGGGTTACCTGGGAACTCAGGGCCAGTGAAAAGTCACAGGTCTGGCTGGAAGTTCCGTCTTCTGTCCCTCGGGCCCCAACCTCGAGGCAGTTTGTTAATCTGGTGGGGGTCAGAAGTCGTGGCGGCTTCCTCTTCCCTCTGAGTCTGTCCCGAGCCCCAGCCCTCACACACTGCCCTTCTGTGCTACAGTATCTAAAACCCAAAGTTCGTGTCTTTCCCCCAAAATCAGATCCCGACGCTAGTCCAGCTGGACTATGGTGCAACCCTCTCTGCAGCAAGAAGCCAGTCCCTGACACTCGAGGCCAGCCTTTGACCTCATCGGGCACACACGGGCAAACCTGAAACAGTGCCAGTCCCTCACTGAGCAAGTAGGCCGCTGGCTTCCAAGACCCTCAAACCGTCCCCAGTGTGCCAACAAGTCGCCAGGCCTCGCGGCGGGTCCCCCTCAGCAAGCTGACCCGGGGAGGGGTCATGCTACCG